TCTTGTATTGAAGTCTGTGTACCCCACCAACGGCTCTTGTATTGAAGTCTGTGTACCCCACCAACGGTTCTTTTATTGAAGTCTGTGTACCCCACCAACGGTTCTTTTATTGAAGTCTGTGTACCCCACCAACGGTTCTTTTATTGAAGTCTGTGTACCCCACCAACGGTTCTTGTATTGAAGTCTGTGTACCCCATCAACGGCTCTTTAATTGAAGTCTGTGTACCCCACCAACGGCTCTTGTATTGAAGTCTGTGTACCCCACCAACGGTTCTTTTATTGAAGTCTATGTACCCCACCAACGGTTCTTTTATTGAAGTCTGTGTACCCCACCAACGGTTCTTGTATTGAAGTCTGTGTACCCCACCAACGGTTCTTTTATTGAAGTATGTGTACCCCACCAACGGTTCTTGTATTGAAGTCTGTGTACCCCACCAACGGTTCTTTTATTGAAGTCTGTGTACCCCATCAACGGCTCTTTAATTGAAGTCTGTGTACCCCATCAACGGTTCTTTTATTGAAGTCTGTGTACCCCACCAACGGTTCTTTTATTGAAGTCTGTGTACCCCACCAACGGCTCTTTAATTGAAGTCTGTGTACCCCACCAATGGTTCTTTTATTGAAGTCTGTGTACCCCACCAACGGCTCTTGTATTGAAGTCTGTGTACCCCACCAACGGCTCTTTAATTGAAGTCTGTGTACCCCATCAACGGTTCTTTTATTGAAGTCTGTGTACCCCACCAACGGCTCTTGTATTGAAGTCTGTGTACCCCACCAACGGTTCTTTTATTGAAGTCTGTGTACCCCACCAACGGTTCTTGTATTGAAGTCTGTGTACCCCACCAATGGTTCTTTTATTGAAGTCTGTGTACCCCACCAACGGTTCTTTTATTGAAGTCTGTGTACCCCACCAACGGCTCTTGTATTGAAGTCTGTGTACCCCACCAACGGTTCTTGTATTGAAGTCTGTGTACCCCACCAATGGTTCTTTTATTGAAGTCTGTGTACCCCACCAATGGTTCTTTTATTGAAGTCTGTGTACCCCACCAACGGTTCTTTTATTGAAGTATGTGTACCCCACCAACGGTTCTTTTATTGAAGTCTGTGTACCCCACCAACGGCTCTTGTATTGAAGTCTGTGTACCCCACCAACGGCTCTTTTATTGAAGTATGTGTACCCCACCAACGGTTCTTTTATTGAAGTCTGTGTACCCCACCAACGGCTCTTGTATTGAAGTCTGTGTACCCCACCAACGGCTCTTGTATTGAAGTCTGTGTACCCCACCAACGGTTCTTTTATTGAAGTCTGTGTACCCCACCAACGGTTCTTTTATTGAAGTCTGTGTACCCCACCAACGGTTCTTTTATTGAAGTCTGTGTACCCCACCAACGGTTCTTGTATTGAAGTCTGTGTACCCCATCAACGGCTCTTTAATTGAAGTCTGTGTACCCCACCAACGGCTCTTGTATTGAAGTCTGTGTACCCCACCAACGGTTCTTTTATTGAAGTCTATGTACCCCACCAACGGTTCTTTTATTGAAGTCTGTGTACCCCACCAACGGTTCTTGTATTGAAGTCTGTGTACCCCACCAACGGTTCTTTTATTGAAGTATGTGTACCCCACCAACGGTTCTTGTATTGAAGTCTGTGTACCCCACCAACGGTTCTTTTATTGAAGTCTGTGTACCCCACCAACGGTTCTTGTATTGAAGTCTGTGTACCCCACCAACGCGTTTCGTGTACTGGGCTCTGTATACAATACACGACCCTTTCGATAACATCCAGTAAATCCCACGACCCACAAGATGACCCGGCCGGCAGATGACCCGCGAAATGACCCAAGAGCTATTGAAGTCTCTCGCTTACATGCTAGCAGCTATGACATAGCCAGCTCTAGGTACAAAAACAACTAGCAATTATCATTTTTCCCTAATTCCTACAGCTGACACTGCTAGCCTCATCCAGCCAGCGAAAGATTGGCAACTCATTTACGCTGGGATATACTCTTTAGTTTTTTGACATACGTAAATTACCGTAATATATATATATATATATATATATATATATATATATATATATATATATATATATATATATATATATATATATATATCATAAACAGTGACTTATATTTATCGATAGGACTATGTAACGTACATGTAGGCCTACATTACTCGTGTAAGTGTTAACACCTGTCTATTGGTACATTCGCCTGTTGGTAGTGGCACTAAGTATCCCAGTTGTTTATTTACACTAGCTTCCGTGTAACCGAAATTTGGTGAACACCCACCCCGCCCCCACTCCCCTACACCGCCCCTCCCCCCTCTACACCTCAGTCGCACTTCCGTACATCTGACATTTGGTGGACACCCCCCCTATTTACTCCCAACCCCGCCATTCTTCTATGCTGTACCATCTCTAGCCGGGGCGTGACCTGGTGTGGGCGGCACTCCATTTCAGCGATTCTCACGCCTCACCACCCGCCCCCACAGACCCAAGTTCATTCACAGAAAGTTACGATTTACAAGAGCATCACAATTCAAATGATGAACACACATTATAAATATATTTTATTGAATGCCAACTGAATTGGGTAGCGCACTTGGCTCGAGTAAATCAAAAACAAGTCTTGTCTTCCACGGAAAAAAAGTTTAGAACCGCTGCCCTGATTAATAGCGAACAATCATTTGGCTTCTCCTTTATTAGTTTCCTACCGTGGTTTCCCAAATGTCGTGGAGATTTTCCTCCAGCTAAAGAACCACCTGATATAAAGCTAATGGGACCAGACAGTGTCAGACAGCTCGGGAACAGCGTCCATTTCCGAACTTGGGTTGTTTTTTTTTTTCATTTCAATTTCCGAATAAACATCAGGCGGGAGTGATCTTCCTTGAACTTGATTGTACATTCTTACATAAAGTTAAGCCATTTTGTCACCGTGTCATCCAGGAATGTTCTAGAGAAAACACAAGGAAAATAAAAACTTTCACATTCAAACGAAAAACGAAACTTCCCACGACCGTGACGTCACATGGAACATATAGGAAAGTTTCAAAACGAATCGATATAGATCTATGTACAGTTCTAAAGCCGGAAAAGTACACCCAATAAAACATGCAAAAAACAATGATATATCTATAATTTCTTGTACAATTAATGTTTCTTCTGCGTATTTAAATAATTACTTAAAGGTTGAGATTGCTGTGTACATAATCTTAGAGTATTTTACTTATTATAATTATAAACCATAATGCTTTTAAAGTTTGCAAATGCTACAAAATTAACACCACACACATAAATAAACACCCACAAATTTACAATTCTCAACAATTAAATCAAAATATTTCTTAAAATATTTTTGTGACTTTTTCTGTGACTTTATTTCTGTGACTTTTTTTCCTGTGACTTTTCCCCTGTTCACCCCCCAACCTCCCTCTTAAACCGCTACTGTGTGCGTGTGTGTGTGTGTGTGTGTGTGTGTTTAGCTGCTGTTTGCTGTGGTTATTCTTGATTTGTTGCTTGAAATGAAAAGAAATCTGCAAGTCGTATAAGAGGAATTGAAAATCTCGGTTATCTTCCCCTATCCTATCGCTAGAGCTTGTTTATGTGGATGTGACTGACCTGGGATGTGGGGGCGGAAGAAGGAAAGTTCAGCCATTTTAAAAAATTGGCTAAAGGTAGGGGTGTCTTTACAATGTTTTTACAACCTTTTTATTGGTTTATGATGTTTATACATGTAACCCTCACTCAGTGGGGATGCTTTTACCCACTGAGGTGTTGTGGTTAAGACGGGCTGACCCAGAGATTAAGAACACACTGACACCGACAGTTGTTGTCAAGTACTCGCTTTATTTACAGCATCGAGCCATGACGGCGATGCAACACAGTAGTACGACGTGAGAAAATACTGAAGACAGACCAAAACAAAAGGAAAAACTGTAGCCCTAAAACAAATGTAAATAAAAAGTTACATTCATGACAACACCACGTGTAGGCTACAATATACACGGGTACAATAAATTATGTTTCGGCCAGTACACAGTACTGCCAACAAGTACCAAAAAGTAGTACTACAAATAAATACTTATATTAATACTCACCCTAACTAGTGTGCACATGCAGCACTAGCAGGAATACACAAATAAGTATTTTAACAAACATAATCTATATAACTACCTTCATTAGGTCTACATCTTGGTCACCGTGTCCACAGACAGCAGCCTTGTGTGTAACTGACACGGCTAGGCATGAAACTACCCACAGTCCCATGTTACATGACATGGGACACAGGTAACATCGCTCACAAAAGCATGAAAAAAAAAACAACTACGTCCACAGGGCCACAGCCCCACAGGGGCCGCAACTCAATGAATTAAAACTTCATATTTTTATCCCCCTTGGCTGGTAACCATATGTGTTACATACAATTCGACCTTTGGGTCAACAATACGGGACTAACCACAAACCCTACTCACCACTATCCCCAGGGTATTTTCAATAATTTAAAGCTTATTGTTTAAAGGGTTTTATACTTATTGATCAAACCATGTCCAAAAACTGTAATGTGACCGTCGTTAATGACCTTGAATGGATATGCTAATGATGACATGTGACTGTCTGCTACCCTGGTCTTTGGTTGGTTGGTTTTCAGGGGCGGGAAGAGGAAATGTAAAGGAGATTTAAAATCTAACGAGAGCCCTGAAGTTGAGCTTTAAAACACTTACTGTATCTGTGGAGATGGCACACAGACGTGATCGTCTGCTGGGCTTGCTGCACATCAAGTAGGTCCGCGATGACAGCAGGACTGGGCAAGGACACTTGGCCGTCTGCTGATAACTCGCTGGTGACGCAACGAAAAGGGGCAAGGCCATTAGTCACGGCGCATGCGGGGATACAACGGTCTGGGCGTGGCTTACCTGCACGATACCACGAGGCCAGACACCTGTGGGTGTGGGGTAGTGGGTAAGGTTGGGGGGGGGGGGGGGGGTCGGGCGACACAGGCTCAAGTAGTGGTTGGGGAAGTAGATGATGTGGTTGGGGAGGTAGATGAGGTGGTTGGTGTTGTAGATGAGGTGGTTGGGGTTGTAAATGAGGTGGTTGGGGAGGTAGATGAGGTGGTTGTGGAGGTAGATGAGGTGGTTGGGGAGGTAGATGAGGTGGTTGGGGAGGTAGATGAGGTGGATGGGGAGGTAGACGATGTGGTTGGGGAGGTAGATGATGTGGTTGGGGAGGTAGATGAGGTGGATGGGGAGGTAGATGATGTGGTTGGGGAGGTAGATGAGGTGGTTGAGGAGGTAGATGAGGTGGTTGGGGTTGTAGATGAGGTGGTTGGGGTGGTTGGGGAGGTAGATGAGGTGGTTGGGGAGGCAGATGAGGTGGTTGGGGTGGTTGGGGAGGTAGATGAGGTGGTTGGGGAGGTAGATGAGGTGGATGGGGAGGTAGATGAGGTGGATGGGGAGGTAGATGAGGTGGATGGGGAGGTAGATGATGTGGTTGGGGAGGTAGATGAGGTGGTTGAGGAGGTAGATGAGGTGGTTGGGGTTGTAGATGAGGTGGTTGGGGAGGTAGATGAGGTGGTTGAGGAGGTAGATGAGGTGGTTGGGGTTGTAGATGAGGTGGTTGAGGAGGTAGATGATGTGGTTGGGGAGGTAGATGAGGTGGTTGAGGAGGTAGATGAGGTGGTTGGGGTTGTAGATGAGGTGGTTGGGGAGGTAGATGAGGTGGTTGGGGAGGCAGATGAGGTGGTTGGGGTGGTTGGGGAGGTAGATGAGGTGGTTGGGGAGGTAGATGAGGTGGATGGGGAGGTAGATGAGGTGGATGGGGAGGTAGATGAGGTGGTTGGGGAGGCAGATGAGGTGGTTGGGGTGGTTGGGGAGGTAGATGGGGTGGTTGGGGAGGTAGATGAGGTGGATGGGGAGGTAGATGATGTGGTTGGGGAGGTAGATGAGGTGGTTGAGGAGGTAGATGAGGTGGTTGGGGTTGTAGATGAGGTGGTTGGGGTGGTTGGGGAGGTAGATGAGGTGGTTGGGGAGGCAGATGAGGTGGTTGGGGTGGTTGGGGAGGTAGATGAGGTGGTTGGGGAGGTAGATGAGGTGGTTGGGGAGGTAGATGAGGTGGTTGGGGTGGTTGGGGAGGTAGATGAGGTGGTTGGGGAGGCAGATGAGGTGGTTGGGGTTGTAGATGAGGTGGTTGGGGTGGTTGGGGAGGTAGATGGGGTGGTTGGGGTGGTTGGGGAGGTAGATGAGGTGGTTGGGGTGGTTGGGGAGGTAGATGAGGTGGTTGGGGAGGCAGATGAGGTGGTTGGGGTTGTAGATGAGGTGGGTGGGGAGGTAGATGAGGTGGTTGGGGTGGTTGGGGAGGTAGATGAGGTGGTTGGGGAGGCAGATGAGGTGGTTGGGGTTGTAGATGAGGTGGGTGGGGAGGTAGATGAGGTGGTTGGGGAGGTAATGATGTAGTAATGATGGTGACTTGGATGAACGTTGGTAGGTGTGAGTGATGATAGATAGGTGTGAGGGGTGGGTGGATGTATTGGGGGTGCGGAAGATGGTGCTGGAGGAACAAGGGGTAGCGGCGTTAACGACCAAGTCATACTATGTCAGTCTGACCCAAGACACACCCTCCCTTAGTCTGAATGTCTGACCCAGGAACCCACCCTCCCTCAGTCTGAATGTTTGACCCAAGAACCCACACCTGACCTCACCTTGACCCCAACAGCTTTACCTGAACTGATGTCATCGGGTCGAGTGTGCCGTCATCACTTCTCGCTTCGTTGGGTTCTACAGGTAATCGATGGAGGAAATCAATAGCCATGCAATCAATACCGGGATCAATGATCAGCTATGGCGATCACAGAATGGCCGCTGCTCGCTGTTCTGATGGCCTTAAGACTTGTCTGTGAACCTGAGTCACCCCTGACGTCACTGTCTAGTATGACGTAACAAAAGGAAAACAACAGATCATGGTTGGAGGAGCGTCAAGGTTGGTCATGGTTCAATGACGTCATGAGCCGGACATAGTCATAGTTTGTATGAGGTGGGAAGATAGTATTTACATCCTAGTACTAGTCCCTAAAATAAACTTACGAGACCACTCTTGTGGTTTTATCGGGAGATAAATCTAATGGTTTTATCATGAGGTAAATCTGGTGGTTTTATCATGAGATAAATCTGGTGGTTTTATCAAGAGATAAATTTGGTGGTTTTATCATGAGATAAATCTTGTGGTTTTATCAAGAGATAAATTTGGTGATTTTATCAAGAGATAAATCTGGTGGTTTTATCAAGAGATAAATTTGATGGTTTTATCATGAGATAAATCTGGTGGTTTTATCAAGAGATAAATTTGGTGGTTTTATCATGAGATAAATCTTGTGGTTTTATCATGAGATAAATCTGGTGGTTTTATCATGAGATAAATCTTGTGGTTTTATCAGGAGATAAATCTGGTGGTTTTATAATGAGATAAATCTTGTGGTTTTATCATGAGATAAATCTGGTGGTTTTATTATGAGATAAATCTTGTGGTTTTATCATGAGATAAATTTGGTGGTTTTATCAAGAGATAAATTTGGTGGTTTTATCATGAGATAAATTTGGTGGTTTTATCATGAGAAAAATCTGGTGGTTTTATCATGTTGTCCCAGGTACCCCATGTATCGCCGCCTCTGCCAGCCAGCACTACCAAACACCAGTCAATGACTAACCAGATGTTTCCAGGCCGTTAAACACGTCAGTTGACAGAAGCCGTTATCACCCCACGCCCGTGTACGGGTGTGTGTATGTAAGGGGGGGGGGCTGTGTGTGGTTCAAACTCTAGTACAGACTCATGATATTTCCAGAGCCATATTCTTAGGAGCCTGTTTTGTAGGATTAAAACATTGTTTTAAACAGCAACGATTTAGAACTTTTAAAACAGGAATAGTTTTTAATTTTCACCACATATAACTTATAAGAACCGTTTGATTTCATTTTGAGCAGCTCCGCCAAAATGTTGACAGCTCCGCCAAAATGTTGACAGCTGCGCCAGAATGTTGACAGCTCCGCCAAAATGTTGACAGCCCCGCCAGAATGTTGACAGCTCCGCCAAAATGTTGACAGCTCCGCCAGAATGTTGACAGCCCCGCCAGAATGTTGACAGCTCCGCCAAAATGTTGACAGCTCCGCCAGAATGTTGACAGCTCCGCCAAAATGTTGACAGCCCCGCCAGAATGTTGACAGCTCCGCCAAAATGTTGACAGCTGCGCCAGAATGTTGACAGCTCCGCCAAAATGTTGACAGCCCCGCCAGAATGTTGACAGCCCCGCCAAAATGTTGACAGCCCCGCCAGAATGTTGACAGCTCCGCCAAAATGTTGACAGCTGCGCCAGAATGTTGACAGCTCCGCCAAAATGTTGACAGCTGCGCCAGAATGTTGACAGCTCCGCCAAAATGTTGCCACGACCTGGTTGTTGGTCTGGTGGGTACAAAATGATGAACTCAGCTCTTTCGGTAAACGAGACAAAATTTGATCGCTCCTGAGCTAACACTTGAGTGGATTAGAGGTCAAGGTTATATGTTGGTTTAGGGCCTCATGAATATTGAGAGGATGGGTGATGTAAGCCTGGACAGAGAGGGTGGTGGTGGTGGTTGGGGGGGGGGGGGGGGGGGGTGGCGGAGTTATAACTTTCTTCACCGAACTCTTTATTAGAGATCGGTGCATTCACTGGAGCGTGACCATTGTTTGAAGTTTAATTACACAACATAAAACGTTTGATGGCTAATTAATGGCTAATTAATGGAGTTATAGATGAGTCAGGCAAGGTTAGTCAAGGCAGGTGAGTGTGGCAGGTGAGTGTGACAGGTGAGTGTGGCAGGTGAGTGTGGCAGGTGAGTGTGGCAGGTGAGTGTGGCAGGTGAGTGTGTGACAGGTGAGTGTGTGGCAGGTGAGTGTGGCAGGTGAGTGTGTGGCAGGTGAATGTGGCAGGTGAGTGTGGCAGGTGAGTGTGGCAGGTGAGTGTGTGACAGCTGAGTGTGACAGGTGAGTGTGTTGCAGGTGAGTGTATGACAGGTGAGTGTGTCAGGTGAGTGTGGCAGGTGAGTGTGTTACAGGTGAGTGTGTTGCAGGTGAGTGTATGACAGGTGAGTGTGGCAGATGAGTGTGACATTTGGGTGTGGCAGGTGAGTGTGACATTTGGGTGTGGCTGGTGAGTGTGACAGGTGAGTGTGGCAGGTGAGTGTGGCAGGTGAGTGTGGCAGGTGAGTGTGGCAGATGAGTGTGACATTTGGGTGTGGCAGGTGAGTGTGACAGGTGAGTGTGGCAGGTGAGTGTGACAGGTGAGAGTGTGACAGGTGAGTTGGCAGGTGAGTTGGCAGGTGAGTGTGACAGGTGAGTGTGGCTGGTGAGTGTGTGGCAGGTGAGTGTGTGACAGGTGAGTGTGTTGCAGGTGAGTGTATGACAGGTGAGTGTGGCAGATGAGTGTGACATTTGGGTGTGGCTGGTGAGTGTGACAGGTGAGTGTGACAGGTGAGTGTGGCAGGTGAGTGTGGCAGGTGAGTGTGGCAGGTGAGTGTGGCAGATGAGTGTGGCAGGTGAGTGTGACAGGTGAGAGTGTGACAGGTGAGTTGGCAGGTGAGTTGGCAGGTGAGTGTGACAGGTGAGTGTGGCAGGTGAGTGTGTGGCAGGTGAGTGTGTTGCAGGTGAGTGTATGACAGGTGAGTGTGTCAGGTGAGTGTGTTGCAGGTGAGTGTGTGACAGGTGAGTGTGTTGCAGGTGAGTGTATGACAGGTGAGTGTGGCAGATGAGTGTGACATTTGGGTGTGGCAGGTGAGTGTGACAGGTGAGTGTGACAGGTGAGTGTGGCAGGTGAGTGTGTGGCAGGTGAGTGTGGCAGGTGAGTGTGTGACAGCTGAGTGTGACAGGTGAGTGTGTTGCAGGTGAGTGTATGACAGGTGAGTCTGTCAGGTGAGTGTGGCAGGTGAGTGTGTTACAGGTGAGTGTGTTGCAGGTGAGTGTATGACAGGTGAGTGTGGCAGATGAGTGTGACATTTGGGTGTGGCAGGTGAGTGTGACATTTGGGTGTGGCAGGTGAGTGTGACAGGTGAGTGTGGCAGGTGAGTGTGGCAGGTGAGTGTGGCAGGTGAGTGTGGCAGATGAGTGTGACATTTGGGTGTGGCAGGTGAGTGTGACAGGTGAGTGTGGCAGGTGAGTGTGACAGGTGAGAGTGTGACAGGTGAGTTGGCAGGTGAGTTGGCAGGTGAGTGTGACAGGTGAGTGTGGCAGGTGAGTGTGTGGCAGGTGAGTGTGTGACAGGTGAGTGTGTTGCAGGTGAGTGTATGACAGGTGAGTGTGGCAGATGAGTGTGACATTTGGGTGTGGCTGGTGAGTGTGACAGGTGAGTGTGACAGGTGAGTGTGGCTGGTGAGTGTGGCAGGTGAGTGTGGCAGGTGAGTGTGGCAGATGAGTGTGGCAGGTGAGTGTGACAGGTGAGAGTGTGACAGGTGAGTTGGCAGGTGAGTTGGCAGGTGAGTGTGACAGGTGAGTGTGGCAGGTGAGTGTGTGGCAGGTGAGTGTGTTGCAGGTGAGTGTATGACAGGTGAGTGTGTCAGGTGAGTGTGTTGCAGGTGAGTGTGTGACAGGTGAGTGTGTTGCAGGTGAGTGTATGACAGGTGAGTGTGGCAGATGAGTGTGACATTTGGGTGTGGCAGGTGAGTGTGACAGGTGAGTGTGACAGGTGAGTGTGGCAGGTGAGTGTGGCAGGTGAGTGTGTTGCAGGTGAGTGTATGACAGGTGAGTGTGGCAGATGAGTGTGACATTTGGGTGTGGCAGGTGAGTGTGACAGGTGAGTGTGACAGGTGAGTGTGGCAGGTGAGTGTGGCAGGTGAGTGTGGCAGGTGAGTGTGGCAGATGAGTGTGGCAGGTGAGTGTGACAGGTGAGAGTGTGACAGGTGAGTTGGCAGGTGAGTTGGCAGGTGAGTGTGACAGGTGAGTGTGGCAGGTGAGTGTGTGGCAGGTGAGTGTGTTGCAGGTGAGTGTATGACAGGTGAGTGTGTCAGGTGAGTGTGTTGCAGGTGAGTGTATGACAGGTGAGTGTGGCAGGTGAGTGTGTGGCAGGTGAGTGTGTGGCAGGTGAGTGTGGCAGATGAGTGTGACATTGGGGTGTGACAGGTGAGTGTGACAGGTGAGTGTGGCAGATGAGTGTGGCAGGTGAGTGTGACAGGTGAGAGTGTGACAGGTGAGTTGGCAGGTGAGTTGGCAGGTGAGTGTGACAGGTGAGTGTGGCAGGTGAGTGTGTGGCAGGTGAGTGTGGCAGGTGAGTGTGTGACAGGTGAGTGTGTTGCAGGTGAGTGTATGACAGGTGAGTGTGTCAGGTGAGTGTGTTGCAGGTGAGTGTGACAGGTGAGTGTGGCAGGTGAGTGTGTGGCAGGTGAGTGTATGACAGGTGAGTGTGTCAGGTGAGTGTGTTGCAGGTGAGTGTATGACAGGTGAGTGTGGCAGGTGAGTGTGTGGCAGGTGAGTGTGTGGCAGGTGAGTGTGGCAGGTGAGTGTGTGGCAGGTGAGTGTGTGACAGGTGAGTGTGGCAGGTGAGTGTGGCAGGTGAGTGTGGCAGGTGAGTGTGTGGCAGGTGAGTGTGTGGCAGGTGAGTGTGTGGCAGGTGAGTGTGGCAGGTGAGTGTGTGGCAGGTGAGTGTGTGGCAGGTGAGTGTGGCAGGTGAGTGTGGCAGGTGAGTGTGTGACAGGTGAGTGTGTTGCAGGTGAGTGTATGACAGGAGAGTGTGACAGGTGAGTGTGGCAGGTGAGTGTGTGGCAGGTGAGTGTGGCAGGTGAGTGTGTGACAGGTGAGTGTGTGACAGGTGAGTGTGTGACAGGTGAGTGTGGCAGGTGAGTGTGTGGCAGGTGAGTGTGGAAGTTGAGTGTGTGACAGGTGAGTGTGTTGCAGGTGAGTGTGTGGCAGGTGAGTGTGGCAGGTGAGTGTGTGGCAGGTGAGTGAGGCAGGTGAGTTTGACAGGTGACGGTGACAGGTGAGTGTGGCAGGTGAGTGTGGCAGGTGAGTGTGACAGGTGAGTGTTGCAGGTGAATATTCTATAATTAAGATTGCAGTTTGTGTCACCTTGTCTTTGTGGTGCCACATTAAATTGAACACCTTGTTCTAATGGTTTCAAGGAACTTACAGTTGAGATGGATGAGACGGCACACGCCAGCATGTAAGGGGGAGGGGAGATAATGAACTTACAGTTGAGATGGATGAGACGGCACACGCCAGCATGTAAGGGGGAGGGGAGATAATGAACTTACAGTTGAGATGGATGAGACGGCACACGCCAGCATGTAAGGGGGAGGGGAGATAATGAACTTACAGTTGAGATGGATGAGACGGCACAAGCCAGCAGGTAAGGGGGAGGGGAGATAGCATCGAAGAATGGCCGGGTCTAACATTGGGTTAGATACTAAAGAAGACAATTTACCAGACGATCGTACTGTCTTTTTTCCTGCCCAGGGTTTCTTTCAGACATTTTCCTCCGTGTGTGCGTGGGCGGGGGGGGGGGGGGGGGTATTAAATTTCCAGGGGGAGAATATTTGTTCTATGAAAATGTTATATCACCCCCCCCCCCCCAGAGATTCCTGAAAGAAACTCTGGTCTGAATACTGAGAAAAACCTATATGACACCTCATTATATCGTCTAATCATTTTTTGTTAAAAGACAATTAATTTTTTTCTGATGTTTTATAATGTCTTAAACTTTTAAATTATTTTGTATCTAATTATGTTGTTGTTAATGATATGAAAACTCGATTGTGTCTCTCAATATTAAATAGTTCAGTAAATTCTATGATAGACTTTTAGACATGTATTCAAATAGACTTTTAGACTTGCAGTCAAATAAACTTTCAGATATGTGGCCAAATAGGTATTCAGAATAGACTATCATGCCTTTTTATATTTTTATCTAGTATCTTACAAGGAGAATACTATTGTCTAATCTCTCCCCCCCCCCCCTCCCCCCTCCCCCCCCCCCCCCCCCCCCGATAGTGGTGAAAGTCATTTCCTCTCTAAACTAAAATGCTTAAAGTACTCGCGACCCTCGAGTGGAAATACGGAAATGCTGGAATCTCACGGGGTTGTTTTATTATTTTTTTTTTTGGGGGGGGGGGGGGGGGGGGGGTTGGGGTGTGTTTGGCGCGTCTTCATGTAGTATAATAATCAGCAACTGTTTTCAAGGAAGGGGTGTAGCGCGGTGTTGCTTTATTACATTAATATACGTATGTCCTAAAGAGAATATATAAGCTTTCTCCCCCAAATATCTATCATACCTGTGAAACATAATACAACCGCATAACCGCATAAGGCTACAAATACCACTTCATTTCTCCAACTTCAGAAAAAAAAATGTGTGAGGCTCCCAAACCCAGCGCTGGCCGTACAACCCCGCGTGTTGTTCGCTTGAAAGGGTAGTTGAATGTTCTGTGACGCTGGCCGTGGGATAATTTCAGCAGAGCTCGCGGGCCACGTGACGGGATTAGCCAATCAGACATTGAGCCGCAGTTATGAATGGCTGTTTATCCTAACCACTTTACGGCGCTCGTTGCGTATAAATGGCCGTAAGACGCACCTGTTATATCACTAGAGCTCAGCAAACGAAGCAAGTACGTGCAGTAACGTATTTGATAAAATATTGAAAGCAATCAGGAGGGGTAACAGTTGCTTTCAAAAGAGAAAAATATTCTGGTACATTGTTCAGTGCGCTGAAATTAAAAAAAAACCCACACCAAACAAACGAATGTAAGTGTAGTAGTAGCCTACGTGTGGGAGTTGTCAACAAATTCTCGACACCGCTGTGCAGGTGTCTACAGCAGGTAAACCTCAACAGGACAGGCTGTCTTAGGCCAGGTGGAAACACCTGTCTCTCAGGAACTGCAACAGGCATTTGTCTGTGTTTAGAAAGGTAAGTTTTATTTCCTTATTCCTACGGCAAAGAACTCGTTTAAACTAGATTTAAAAGCTCTACACATTTTATTCTATATTTGGAGGTAACTTTTAAAGAAAGGAAATGAAACAATGAGCGAATAAATTTGGTTGTTGGCCAAGTCTAGTTGGATGTCCAACATTAGTGTCGAGACAACTTTGGTTTCCGGATACGACAGGTGTGTTAGGTTGTTGGGGTGTGCAGACACAAAGGTGTGCGTTTACGTTTTACACACTCTTGTCAAGCTATCAAAGTCACCAAGATAGGTGTGTACATGACTAATTTAGAGGTACACGTTATGACGCGACGTGTACACATTGTGATACGATATTTATGTCCTTGGATGGTATTGTGTTTACTAGATAATAAGGGTAGCCACAGAACTTGGTTATCTACAGAGCAAGATGCCCCCCCCCCCCCACTCAACCACTTGGCAAGCCTAGCAGAATACAAGAAAATGACCATGTTGAAACTTACCTACACCCAGGGGGCGTAGCGAAGGGGGGGGGGCGATGCGGACCGAACCGGGTGACACCATTTTGGGGGCTGACACCAACGCAATAAATAGCAAAATATATTGAGAAAAATGATAATTCCATCCACTTAATTAAGTGAGTAATTAGAGTGTTAAATAGTCTTTTAAGAGGTGCAAATCGAAAGTTTGGGGGGGGGGGTGTAAATCGAAAATTGAAAGTTTGTCCCCGGGAAGGGTCGCTACGCCTCTGGGGGGGGGGGGGGGTGACACCATCAAGTGCAGCACCGGGTCACACCGGACCTCGCATGACCGCTGCCTACACCCAGGGGGCGTGACACCATCAAGTGCCGCACCGGGTCACACCCGACCTCGCATGACCACTGCCTACACCCAGGGGGGGTGACACCATCAAGTGCCGCACCGGGTCACACCCGACCTCGCATGACCACTGCCTACACCCAGGGGGGGTGACACCATCAAGTGCCGCACCGGGTCACACCCGACCTCGCATGACCACTGCCTACACCCAGGGGGGGTGACACCATCAAGTGCCGCACCGGGTCACACCCGACCTCGCATGACCACTGCCTACACCCAGGGGGGGTGACACCATCAAGTGCCGCACCGGGTCACACCCGACCTCGCATGACCACTGCCTACACCCAGGGGGGGTGACACCATCAAGTGCCGCACCGGGTCACACCCGACCTCGCATGACCACTGCCTACACCCAGGGGGGGTGACACCATCAAGTGCCGCACCGGGTCACACCCGACCTCGCATGACCACTGCCTACACCCACAAACTGTTCTAGACATATTCCACCCCCACCCCTACAAACTGTTCTAGACATATTCCACCCCACCCCTACAAACTGTTCTAGACATATTCCACCCCCACCCCTACAGACTGTTCTAGACATATTCCACCCCCACCCCTACAAACTGTTCTAGACATATTCCACCCCCACCCCTACAAACTGTTCTAGACATATTCCACCCCCACCCCTACAAACTGTTCTAGACATATTCCACCCCCACCCCTACAAACTGTTCTAGACATATTCCACCCCCACCCCTACAAACTGTTCTAGACATATTCCACCCCCACCCCTACAAACTGTTCTAGACATATTCCACCCCCACCCCTACAAACTGTTCTAGACATATTCCACCCCCACCCCTACAAACTGTTCTAGACATATTCCACCCCCACCCCTACAAACTGTTCTAGACATATTCCACCCCCACCCCTACAAACTGGTTCTAGACATATTCCACCCCCACCCCTACAAACTGTTCTAGACATATTCCACCCCCACCCCTACAAACTGTTCTAGACATATTCCACCCCCACCCCTACAAACTGTTCTAGACATATTCCACCCCCACCCCTACAAACTGTTCTAGACATATTCCACCCCCACCCCTACAAACTGTTCTAGACATATTCCACCCCCACCCCTACAAACTGTTCTAGACATATTCCACCCCCACCCCTACAAACTGTTCTAGACATATTCCACCCCCACCCCTACAAACTGTTCTAGACATATTCCACCCCCACCCCTACAAACTGTTCTAGACATATTCCACCCCCACCCCTACAAACTGTTCTAGACATATTCCACCCCCACCCCTACAAACTGTTCTAGACATATTCCACCCCCACCCCTACAAACTGTTCTAGACATATTCCACCCCCACCCCTACAAACTGTTCTAGACATATTCCACCCCCACCCCTACAAACTGTTCTAGACATATTCCACCCCCACCCCTACAAACTGTTCTAGACATATTCCACCCCCACCCCTACAAACTGTTCTAGACATATTCCACCCCCACCCCTACAAACTGTTCTAGACATATTCCACCCCCACCCCTACAAACTGTTCTAGACATATTCCACCCCCACCCCTACAAACTGTTCTAGACATATTCCACCCCCACCCCTACAAACTGTTCTAGACATATTCCACCCCCACCCCTACAAACTGTTCTAGACATATTCCACCCCCACCCCTACAAACTGTTCTAGACATATTCCACCCCCACCCCTACAAACTGTTCTAGACATATTCCACCCCCACCCCTACAAACTGTTCTAGACATATTCCACCCCCACCCCTACAAACTGTTCTAGACATATTCCACCCCCACCCCTACAAACTGTTCTAGACATATTCCACCCCCACCCCTACAAACTGTTCTAGACATATTCCACCCCCACCCCTACAAACTGTTCTAGACATATTCCACCCCCACCCCTACAAACTGTTCTAGACATATTCCACCCCCACCCCTACAAACTGTTCTAGACATATTCCACCCCCACCCCTACAAACTGTTCTAGACATATTCCACCCCCACCCCTACAAACTGTTCTAGACATATTCCACCCCCACCCCTACAAACTGTTCTAGACATATTCCACCCCCACCCCTACAAACTGTTCTAGACATATTCCACCCCCACCCCTACAAACTGTTCTAGACATATTCCACCCCCACCCCTACAAACTGTTCTAGACATATTCCACCCCCACCCCTACAAACTGTTCTAGACATATTCCACCCCCACCCCTACAAACTGTTCTAGACATATTCCACCCCCACCCCTACAAACTGTTCTAGACATATTCCACCCCACCCCTACAAACTGTTCTAGACATATTCCACCCCCACCCCTACAAACTGTTCTAGACATATTCCACCCCCACCCCTACAAACTGTTCTAGACATATTCCACCCCCACCCCTACAAACTGTTCTAGACATATTCCACCCCCACCCCTACAAACTGTTCTAGACATATTCCACCCCCACCCCTACAAACTGTTCTAGACATATTCCACCCCCACCCCTACAAACTGTTCTAGACATATTCCACCCCCACCCCTACAAACTGTTCTAGACATATTCCACCCCCACCCCTACAAACTGTTCTAGACATATTCCACCCCCACCCCTACAAACTGTTCTAGACATATTCCACCCCCACCCCTACAAACTGTTCTAGACATATTCCACCCCCACCCCTACAAACTGTTCTAGACATATTCCACCCCCACCCCTACAAACTGTTCTAGACATATTCCACCCCCACCCCTACAAACTGTTCTAGACATATTCCACCCCCACCCCTACAAACTGTTCTAGACATATTCCACCCCCACCCCTACAAACTGTTCTAGACATATTCCACCCCCACCCCTACAAACTGTTCTAGACATATTCCACCCCCACCCCTACAAACTGTTCTAGACATATTCCACCCCCACCCCTACAAACTGTTCTAGACATATTCCACCCCCACCCCTACAAACTGTTCTAGACATATTCCACCCCCACCCCTACAAACTGTTCTAGACATATTCCACCCCCACCCCTACAAACTGTTCTAGACATATTCCACCCCCACCCCTACAAACTGTTCTAGACATATTCCACCCCCACCCCTACAAACTGTTCTAGACATATTCCACCCCCACCCCTACAAACTGTTCTAGACATATTCCACCCCCACCCCTACAAACTGTTCTAGACATATTCCACCCCCACCCCTACAAACTGTTCTAGACATATTCCACCCCCACCCCTACAAACTGTTCTAGACATATTCCACCCCCACCCCTACAAACTGTTCTAGACATATTCCACCCCCACCCCTACAAACTGTTCTAGACATATTCCACCCCCACCCCTACAAACTGTTCTAGACATATTCCACCCCCACCCCTACAAACTGTTCTAGACATATTCCACCCCCACCCCTACAAACTGTTCTAGACATATTCCACCCCCACCCCTACAAACTGTTCTAGACATATTCCACCCCCACCCCTACAAACTGTTCTAGACATATTCCACCCCACCCCTACAAACTGTTCTAGACATATTCCACCCCCACCCCTACAAACTGTTCTAGACATATTCCACCCCCACCCCTACAAACTGTTCTAGACATATTCCACCCCCACCCCTACAAACTGTTCTAGACATATTCCACCCCCACCCCTACAAACTGTTCTAGACATATTCCACCCCACCCCTACAAACTGTTCTAGACATATTCCACCCCACCCCTACAAACTGTTCTAGACATATTCCACCCCCACCCCTACAAACTGTTCTAGACATATTCCACCCCCACCCCTACAAACTGTTCTAGACATATTCCACCCCCACCCCTACAAACTGTTCTAGACATATTCCACCCCCACCCCTACAAACTGTTCTAGACATATTCCACCCCCACCCCTACAAACTGTTCTAGACATATTCCACCCCCACCCCTACAAACTGTTCTAGACATATTCCACCCCCACCCCTACAAACTGTTCTAGACATATTCCACCCCCACCCCTACAAACTGTTCTAGACATATTCCACCCCCACCCCTACAAACTGTTCTAGACATATTCCACCCCCACCCCTACAAACTGTTCTAGACATATTCCACCCCCACCCCTACAAACTGTTCTAGACATATTCCACCCCCACCCCTACAAACTGTTCTAGACATATTCCACCCCCACCCCTACAAACTGTTCTAGACATATTCCACCCCCACCCCTACAAACTGTTCTAGATTCCCCCCCCCCCGCTTTTATTTTCCCCAAGAAAACAATCTGTCAGATGGAATCGGAAAATATTGACAAGCAACAGCGCCAGATTTATCCAAATCTCCTAGCGTCCTCACTTCTGCAACTTTTGTTTACAGATACCTGACGTCATGGTTGGGTTGTATCGTCTGCTCTGTTTGGCTTACCTCGTGCAGGTGGTTGCATTTGCTAGAGTTGTCCGGCTTTGTAAGGTATTGTCTCAAAGATTTTTTGTTTACCTTTTAAGGTATTGTCTGAAAGATTGTTTATTTACTTTGTAAGGTATTATCTGAAAGATTTTTTGTTTACTTTGTAAGGTATCATCTAAAAGATGTATTGTCTGAAGTTTTTAAATTTTACTTTGAAAGGTATTGTTTGAAAGATGTTTTATTTATTTTGCAACAGTCTGTATTATTTAGAACGCTCTTTGTGGGTTATACACAACACAATAAAGATATGCCAACTGCGTGTTAAAGTCTTGATTTACATAGAAATGATAAAGCTAAAACACACAATATGATATTTATACGGCCACAGCACATGAAATGTTCAAAGAGAAAATTATTTGAAAACGTCTCGAGAAATTTATCAGAGGCGTAGCTACCCTTCCCGGCGCCCGGGGACAAAACTTTTCGATTTGCACCCCCACCCCTCAAGATTTCGACTTGCACCCCCCCCCCTCAAACTTTCAATTTACAGCCCCTCAACCTTTCAATTTATTTTTCCAACCCATTTTGGCGCCTCCTAAGGTCGGCGCCCGGGGACATAAGTCCCCCCCTCCCCCTCGCTACGCTACTGTAATTTATCGTACTTGTATACTAGGTATGGCAGAGGTATCGCACTTTGTCAGAGGAATCGTACTTGTATACTAGATATGGCACGCTATCTCGCTTGTGTCCGTGGTATCGTACTTATATCCCATGAATAGAAACGGTATCGCACTTATGGTCGAGATGTCGTACTTGTATCACACGTATGGCACATGTATTGCATTTGAATCCAAGGTATCGTACTTATATCCTAATAACAGCACAGGTATCGCACAGGTATCCGATGAATGTCAGGAACTGCTCCCACAGATCACACCCCCCCCCCCCCGCCCTGTTATGTATATGCCCCCTTTTTGTCTACCCTTTCTGTGACTACTTAGTGCAGCAAATTCGTGATTTTCGCTCACATTAACGTCCGGTGATCATACTTTCTTCTCACTTACAAAGTATATTCACAATACAATTATGATCTATTATATATTTAAATTAAAAAAAAACAACGTCTTGTATGACACTTTGCCTGAAAGTATGTCATATATTCCATGACACTGCCTGAAAGTATGTCATATATTCCATGACACTTTGCCTGAAAGTATGTCATATATTCCTTGACACTTTGCCTGAAAGTATGTCATATATTCCATGACACTTTGCCTGAAAGTATGTCATATATTCCATGACACTGCCTGAAAGTATGTCATATATTCCATGACAGTGCCTGAAAGTATGTCATATATTCCATGACACTTTGCCTGAAAGTATGTCATATATTCCTTGACACTTTGCCTGAAAGTATGTCATATATTCCATGACACTTTGCCTGAAAGTATGTCATATATTCCATGACACTGCCTGAAAGTATGTCATATATTCCATGACAGTGCCTGAAAGTATGTCATATATTCCATGACACTTTGCCTGAAAGTATGTCATATATTCCATGACACTGCCTGAAAGTATGTCATATATTCCATGACAGTGCCTGAAAGTATGTCATATATTCCATGACACTGCCTGAAAGTATGTCATATATTCCATGACTCTGCCTAAAAGTATGTCATATATTCCATGACACTGCTTGAAAGTATGTCATATATTCCATGACACTGCCTGAAAGTATGTCATATATTCCAGGACACGGAGATCGAAGTGCTGTCAGGCCAGGGTGTGCGTATTGAAGCTCACAACAACAGCCGTGCCGAGATTGCCCTGTGGGACAGGTCACCCAACAACAACCCGACGTATGTACCACACGACACGACATATGAACCCTACAACAACCCGACGTATGTACCACACGACACGACATATGAACCCTACAACAACCCGACGTATGTACCACACGACACGACATATGAACCCTACAACAACCCGACGTATGTACCACACGACACGACATATGAACCCTACAACAACCCGACACAACATATGAGCCCTACAACAACCCGACGTATGTACCACACGACACGACATATGAACCCTACAACAACCCGACGTATGTACCACACGACACGACATATGAACCCTACAACAACCCGACGTATGTACCACACGACACGACATATGAACCCTACAACAACCCGACACAACATATGAGCCCTACAACAACCCGACGTATGTACCACACGACACGACATATGAACCCTACAACAACCCGACGTATGTACCACACGACACGACATATGAACCCTACAACAACCCGACACAACATATGAGCCCTACAACAACCCGACGTATGTACCACACGACACGACAGCCCAACAACAACCCGACACGACACACGAGCCCTACAACAACCCGACGTATGTACCACACGACACGACAGCCCAACAACAACCCGACGTATGTACCACACGACATACGAGCCCTACAACAACCCGACGTATGTACCACACGACACGACATATGAACCCTACAACAACCCGACGTATGTACCACACGACACGACATATAAACCCTACAACAACCCGACGTATGTACCACACGACACGACATATGAACCCTACAACAACCCGACGTATGTACCACACGACACGACATATGAACCCTACAACAACCCGACACAACATATGAGCCCTACAACAACCCGACGTATGTACCACACGACACGACATATGAACCCTACAACAACCCGACGTATGTACCACACGACACGACATATGAACCCTACAACAACCCGACACAACATATGAGCCCTACAACAACCCGACGTATGTACCACACGACACGACAGCCCAACAACAACCCGACACGACACACGAGCCCTACAACAACCCGACGTATGTACCACACGACACGACAGCCCAACAACAACCCGACGTATGTACCACACGACACGACAGCCCAACAACAACCCGACGTATGTACCACACGACATACGAGCCCTACAACAACCCGACGTATGTACCACACGACATACGAGCCCTACAACAACCCGACGTATGTACCAACGACACACGAGCCCTACAACAACCCGACGTATGTACCAACGACACACGAGCCCTACAACAACCCGACGTATGTACCAACGACACACGAGCCCTACAACAACCCGACACAACATATGAGCCCTACAACAACCCGACGTATGTACCACACGACACACGAGCCCTACAACAACCCGACGTATGTACCACACGACACACGAGCCCTACAACAACCCGACACAACATATGAGCCCTACAACAACCCGACGTATGTACCACACGACACGACAGCCCAACAACAACCCGACACGACACACGAGCCCTACAACAACCCGACGTATGTACCACACGACACGACAGCCCAACAACAACCCGACGTATGTACCACACGACACGACAGCCCAACAACAACCCGACATATGTACCACACGACATACGAGCCCTACAACAACCCGACGTATGTACCACACGACATACGAGCCCTACAACAACCCGACGTATGTACCAACGACACACGAGCCCTACAACAACCCGACGTATGTACCAACGACACACGAGCCCTACAACAACCCGACGTATGTACCAACGACACACGAGCCCTACAACAACCCGACACAACATATGAGCCCTACAACAACCCGACGTATGTACCACACGACACACGAGCCCTACAACAACCCGACGTATGTACCACACGACACACGAGCCCTACAACAACCCGACGTATGTACCACACGAGACGACAGCCATTCAACAACCCGACGTATGTACCACACGACACGACAGCCCAACAACAACCCGACGTATGTACCACACGACACGACATACGAGCCCTATGACAACCCGACTATACACCACATGACACCCAGACATGCCTACCATCCCGCCAAAAGCGGAATTGTTCCGTTTTTGTTGATTAATTATTTTTTTTACAAAAAATCCTATCCTGTTCCGCCGACCCGTTTTCGTCGAAGTTTGTCCCGTTTTTTTTGTGTTGAAAAAAAATTAATAAAGAATAGTAATCAATTAAATTGGAAAAAAAAGGCTGGGAAAAGCGATTATCTCCCGTTTCCTAGTTTGCTTACAATATTAACAACAGAGGCGTAGCGAGGGGGGGACGACATATGTCCCCGGGCGCCGACCTTGGGGGGGGGGGCGCCAAATTAAGGGGGGGGGGGGGGTGTAAATGAAAAGTTCGAGGGGGGGGGTGCAAATCAAAAGTTTGTCCCCGGGCGCCGGGTAGGGTCGCTACGCCTCTGATTTACAAGTATCATCTAATACTATCTATCTATATATAATTCTCTTCATGGGGACCATACTAGACACCACGCAGCTTAGCCATCACCCTCATCCCCACCTGTCAGGTGAGCTATAGTTCATAGTGTCGAATTCACTATTCACAAAATATGAATTGTTGATAAGTAGAAAATAAAACAATTAGATAGCGGCGTATGCTACGTCGCGGGTCAGCTCGTATCTATTATTATTAATAGTTAATGTGGACAATCTAGCTTCTGAACATTCTTTTTAGTATTTGCAATTGAATTGTAGATTTTTATTTTAAAAAAATGCCTTAAATAACATGTAAGGAAAAAATTTCTGCTTGGCGGTAGTGAGGACAGACCCTCACTACCGAGAAAAATGATCCAAGAAATATTGCGCAGGCATTAGTAACGCATTGATGAAACTAACCCTCATAAAAATTACGTCAGACTTTTTTCTGAGACGGGCACGCTAGTTCTTAATATTATAAATATTATAATCCCTTCATACTAACTGTGCCGAGCAAAAAATAAAATGGTTTGAAAATAATAGTTTACATGTTTTATTCTTCGAATATGCGTGGTTCATTTTGTGTACCAGTATAATTTATTTATACTTAAAGATCTACCTTTGTTTTGAATTTGAAGAAAATCATATTTTATTTTTATTTCTTTAGAAGGGTACGGTAAATGTTCATATGGAGCTGGTGGGGTTCGGTATATCATAAAAGGATAAGAACCAACAATTTAAAAGCTTTTTTTTGCGTGTTTTTTTAACATTTTGCTTAAACTTAATGTCACTGTTTAAAATTGAAATAAACAACGTAAACAGGTTTGAACTGGTTAAAATTGAAATAAACAACGTAAACAGGTTTGAACTGGTTAAAATTGAAATAAACAACGTAAACAGGTTTGAACTGGTTAAAATTGAAATAAACAACGTAAACAGGTTTGAACTGGATTTCGAGTTCAAGACCAGGTCGTCACATGGCATTCTTCTGTATGGAAAGGTGAAAGGTCAGCAGAAGGAAATGGTCGCCCTGTACCTGGTCAAAGGCTTTATCCACTACAAGATCTACTGCCCGCTGATGGACGCTGAAATATACATCCCGACTAAAACAAAGCGGCCTTTAGATGACGGCAAATGGCATAAAGTTACCTACACGGTTAGTACGTATGAAAGTAAGGAGAGAGAGAGAGAGAGGGAGGGAGGGAGGGGCCGTACAAGTTTTACGCGCCAGAAGCTATTAGAGTAGTCTATCAAAGCCCTAAGTCCCCCACATCTCCAAGTCATATTCCCCTACCTATCCAAAAAAAAAATAAACGAAGGTGAGAACAGGAAGCGAAATGCCCTACACTAGATCACACACACCGCACTACAAACCCAAACCCATTAACAGAGATTACTTGAGTACACAATCAACTATACGTTGTTGTTCTCTAAAGGCACAGTTTCGCAACCACGCCTTCAAAAGTTTAGTGACAGTTGATGGGTTCCTAAAGTTAGGGAAACACATCGGCGTCAGCTGTGAGCCTCTAACAACGCTGGAAATGGGAGGGCACTCCATCAATGATGCAGGCCATGACTCGCAACTACAGGTAACTAACTCAATGACTCGCAACTACAGGTAACTAACTCGAGCTTGTAGCCTATCTACGGTGTCCCTCAAATTGACTTCCGACGTTTACCAAATGACATTTTTCTTTCAGCACCTGGCCGGTCAGTTTGAAGGTTGTATAAGAAAGCTAAATATATCCAAGCCTCTACGATCTCCGCCAAAATATTACTTTGTGTCTAGCTGCTGAACTGCCAGTGACATCAGTAAACAACCACGTGATAAAGTTCGCGACTACTCAACTTGAACAAGGACAGAAAAGTACTAACCGCACCCGCTAGCCACTCGGCTTTGTTTATCATGTGCAAATGACAATAATGACCACTGCATAAAGAGCTGCCGAAAGCTTGCATAAAATATAGTATTGTAAGATGTACTGTACAATTTTTATTGCACTGTAGATGTGCTTATTTTTCTTTTTTTTTTAAATCTCTTCTTGGGTCCAGTTTTCTTTTTGTGAAATCTGATATTTGCATACGACATTGTTAGTTTCAGTAAAACATTAATGTCAGTTTTGGAAGTTTTTTATTTTAGTTTATGTACCATTGTAGGTTAATATTATCAACCTATATGATGTAACATTTAATGATTTGGACGTTTCTAGACCCGGGTAGGTATTATTTTCAAAAGACACAAAATTCATGTACACAATTCTTTTGGTAGAAACAACAAAAATAAGTGTAGTTGTAGCCTACGTGTGGGAGTTTTCTTGACGCCGCTGTGCAGGTGTCTACAGCAGGTAAACCTCAACAGGGCAGGCTCTCTTAGGCCAACAGGTAAAACTCTACAGGACAGGCTCTCTTAGGCCAACAGGTAAAACTCTACAGGACAGGTAAAAAGACATTGCCTGCTCACCCTAAAGGCTAGATATATGTACCCTAACAGCTTAATACAAAATGCTCAAAATTGCCTAAAGCTTTTCTAAAATGGTGATTCAAAATATGTATTCTCAATTGAAACTACAATTATAAAATATTAATTGAAAAAACAAAAAAAGAGATGATTAAACATTGAATGAAAAAATTAAACGGTGTTGTTTATTTTATACACATTTGGAATCAGACAAGGAATGTTAGGATCAACCTCTTTCAGTCTCCATCATATATAGCCTACACTTATTATCGTTTTCAGGTGCCTTTTTTCAACTAAAAAGTAGGGTCTAACTCTAATGCCAGAAACACACATGGCCAACAAACCAAAAAGCAGACAAAGATACAAGTCTTAATTAAAAAATGAAACACACATGGCCAACAAACCAAAAGGCAGACACAGATACAAGTCTTAATTTAAAAATGAAACACACATGGCCAACAAACCAAAAGGCAGACAAAGATACAAGTCTTAATTAAAAAATGAAACACACATGGCCAACAAACCAAAAGGCAGACAAAGATACAAGTCTTAATTAAAAAATGAAACACACATGGCCAACAAACCAAAAGGCAGACACAGATACAAGTCTTAATTAAAAAATGAAACAAACATGGCCAACAAACCAAAAGGCAGACAAAGATACAAGTCTTAATTTCATAAGGGTTACACAGAGTTTACATTGCATGTATACTACTTGCATACTTGTCTAGAAAAAAAAAAGGTTTTGTAGGGAAAATGTTTTCATATAACATTAACTTGTTGCAATTTTTTTTGTTAGACATTTAGGTATGTAGTATACTAGTCACAAGAGTAGACTGGGTGTTACTACATAGCCCCCCCCCCCCCTCCAAGAATGGAGTATCCACCACATGCACCAAGAGACAATGTTTTAATTCATGTTTACGTCAACATAAATAAACCTGGGAGCAATACAGAACCTATTTTTAGAGGCCCTAGTTGTAGTTTAAAAATTTGAATCACCCAGCATAGTTATGTAATCAAGTTTAATAACAGTATATTTATTAGTAAAAGTATAACTAACAACTTTGAACAGAAGAATTTATATTCCAGCATATTTATGTAATAAATAAGTTGAAATAGCACAGCATAATTCTTTACGTAAAAAATAGTAAATATCATAGTATTATTACCACCAACAGTAACAAGAAGAGAATTTTTTTTTTGAAAAAGTAAAAAAATTTCTTATGTGGGGACATACTTATATATATATATATATATATATATATATATATATATATATATATATATATATATATATATATATATAGCTACTCCTGACAGCCTTATAATACTTATAAAAAAAAAAAGAATTTCAATTTAAAAAAAAAAGAGAAACATGCACTGGGTAATACTTAGCTGAGCCAAAAAAATAGTTTTCTTTTATAATTCCAAAAAGGATGTTAATTATGGTACTCCTTTCTTGTTTTACAAATAAAAATTTCACAGGATACTTCTAGTCTATAAAAAGTTAATTTTTAAAGCTCCCCAAACCCCAAGAGCCAATATTTTCCACTTTACAAATACCCAGTCACTAGACATTAATACCCAAGGGAAATAATTACATTTTACTTACTCTTTTAAATTAGATGTATTGTTTAAAATAAAAAAAATACTTGGTATGTTTCTTTGATATAATTAGAGAAACAAACTGCAACAAGCAAAATGGAAAAAAAAGACATGATTTTTCAAAATTTTGTAGAACATTTCCGCTATCACAGGATAAGGGCATGTGTGTATATAAATAAATACATAGGATTATTACCTAGAAGAAAATAACATCACATAATTCAACAAGGTGAACAGTTTTAAACTGTCACAAACATTTCGACAGTACTCTCTTAGAAGAACATTTTCCCAGGATTCATGATACCATTGGGGTCAAAACATTTCTTGACCTCTTTTAACACTTGTATTCCAGTCTCCCCAAATTCTTTAGTTAGGAGTTTGCGTTTACCCATGCCAATGCCATGTTCACCTGTGCAGGTACCGTCCTTCTCCATGGCTAGACTGGAATGGTAAAAATAAAACCTGTCACAAATAAGTTACATTAATACACCATGGCATCAAAAATGTCAATAAGCTTTCCTTAAGATGATCTAAAAAAATATCCTTGTGATTTTTTGTGTGATTTTGATTCCAAAATAAAAAGAATAAGAAAATGTTATTCATGTTATAAATATCTAGCGACAGGTAGCATGGGTGAGAAAATAAAAGCTTGATTCTCAATTGTGTTCCAGTTTTCCTGGCTAATCAGCAAAAGTCTGAGCTGGTAATTATGAGATAAAGGTGCCAGCTGTGGTCTCCTATTACTTCTACCTTTGATTTTTACATCAAGTAAAAAAAAAAATCTGAATATTTTAAAATGGCAACTCAAATGTATTGGGTTTTTTGATTTACACAAAAAGCATCTAGCCAACAATACAAAAACCAAATCTTGTAAAATAACAGTTATATAGTTATATAAGAAAATGGATTTTCTTTTTTCTCCCCTTCCCTGTCACAATCTACTGACTGAGGCTCTGGCTCCAACATATTCTCTAGCACAGTGGTTCCCAACCTTTTTCGAGTGGCGACCCCCTTTTATAAAAAGCAAGTGACCAGCGACCCCCATAGAATTAAAAAGCCGAAATTAGTAGGGAAAATAAGCACTAAAATAAGATTTTCTAGTAGACTTTCAATATGAACTACTCTTGATAACTGTTTTAATAGCATGAGTAAAATTGCATACTATTCACTAAACCTTCGTGGTTATTTAACATTTACGTACATGATGAGATTTTCTCTTATTGTTTTTTTTTTTTTTTTTGCTTGGAATTTTCTATCGCGACTTCATTTGATGCTTGCACTAATGCTGGTGAAAACTTCCTGTTCGATCAAGTCTCTGGCGTTTGCAACTAGCTTCTTACCGACGAAAGAACTCCATGTATTTTTTGGTGTGTTCCGAATGACTCTTCTCAAATGACGTTTTAGTTTTGAAGATTTCATTGATTCGTGACTGAGAACAACTTTGTACAGTGCACTTTGTTTCTTCTCTATTATATTTCCAGTGATGTTAATGAAGCCGAATTAAAAAAATGCTTCTAAATATTTATGTTTTGTTTCAAATTACTAAGGTTTAGTATACCAGTTGGTGACCCCCCAGAAAGACCTTCGCGACCCCCAGGTTGGGAACCCGTGCTCTAGCAGTTATATAAACCTGATACATTTGAGCTGATGCAGAACTCAACAAAAAAAACATGCAAGCAAGTAGTTTAGAGCAGGGGTCTCCAAACTTTTCAGTCCGAGGGCCGCATTAACTATCAAATTTCAGTTTGGGGGCCAGTTTCTTCCAGGGGCCAGTTTCTTCCAGGCATGTCTTTGGTTTTTCTGGCCAAAGTTCCTCAGCTATCACCAACAAACAAATTTTCCTTGTACAAAAAGATCTCCGCGGGCCGGATGAGAGGACTTCGCGGGCCGCATCTGGCCCGCGGGCCGTAGTTTGGAGACCCCTGGTTTAGAGCAACAGTAGACAGGCAATCTTCAAGTACTCACTAAGCCATTTTAAAATGAAGATCTTGAACTTTTAAAAATGTCTCTTTGTCTGCATGGTTAACAGGGAAAAGTACATGGAAATTTCCATCTCCTACATGCCCTACTATTGGTCCTGAAAACATTTAAATAATTAAAAATATTTTTAGATTGGGCTTACATGGCAATTAGCGAAGCTCTTATTAAAAATCTGTCATTTCTCACCACCATCAGAAGCTGTAGACTTTTGTGTTTCAGCCAGACTTTGACGACAGACAATTTATTTGACTATGTTATTCCGAAATGTGATCATCTAATAATCGTAGTTCAAACATCTTTCTTTTTGAGTATTATAAAAATAACAGCTCGTTAAAAATAATTCTGCTATACTGACAAAAAACAGATCACAGATAAGTGACCAAAACTTATAGGTTATTTAGACCTCAAAGAATGTCCATATGACAATTAAGTTTATTGAATACTCAAAAAAAAAAATCATGTTTAATGCATTTTGGAGTAACCTATTCTATGATAATTGATATTATAGGTTATTATTCACACTGATATACTGCATTATGACGATCACGTTAATCGTAAATCTGACGTTCAGATTATTTATATGAACAAAACCTAAGACATATCTCTATTATACTAGCTAATGTATCTATGTTTGTAATTTTCATATTGATTTAGCCACAAAACCTTTACGGCTGTTCATTGCAAATATCATAATCTTACTCCAAAAACTAATTTAACAATCGTACTTTTACTACAAAGTAATTGGCTAGCTTTGGAAAAAAACAAATCTGTATTTATCTATAGGAAGCAAATCCAAAAAGAAAAGCAGGCTGAAATCGGAGTCAATGGCCTCAATGGCACATAACCAGTTGACACGTAATCCTTAATTGTGATGGAAGCATGGTCGAGTCTGCAAAGCTCATGGTTGATAAAAAAAAAAGTCTCGAGTTCAAACCCTCTGGCAGATAAGGCTCGATCCCTCCCAACACTAAAAATTAAGAACAAAGAAGAAGATCTATAGGACAATTATTAGTTACCACAAAGCTCTGTACCGACTTATAGGAAAATAATAAACAGAGTATCAGAATCAAAAGAAAAAAAGGTAACTAAATATAAACTTGCATAACTAAGTTAATAGTACAGCTATTTCCCCTTAAATTACCTTCCCCGACCATAAAAAAAATGATTATTTATTTACTCTAATTATTAATGTTTATCACTTTTGTTCCATTAGGCGAAGAGAGAATAATTTTGTGATTAAATAGTTTCATTTTTTTTAGCAATGTGGACATATGCAATAATTTCTTAATGTTCTTAGTTAAGTATGCAAGCACCCAATAGCAATTAGGGCAGTACATAATAGCCCACAATCTTAAATATATGTATATAAAAATCAAAGTATGTGTGTATGTTTGTCTTACATGTATTACTACACCTTATGAAACTTTGAGGAGTGATAAAAATACTCTAGGGGAGGTTTCTGCGATTTTTCTCTACATACAGCATAGAAAAAGTAAAAGTAAGATGCGGTTTGACAAGGTTCATCCGGATGCCATGAAATTTTGGGAAGTTGATGAGAGTAATCATGAGAAGGTTTCTGCAAGAGGATAATGGTCCTTAACGAGCTACTGATAGTGTTTTAAAGCAAAATATTTCCAGTCGCAGAATTGGTTGAAAAAAACGTGGGTACGTTCACCATCAAATTTCCAAAATTTGTGTGTTGTGTGCTTTTCGCTTTAATCATAAATCTGCCCGACCCACGTTTTTAGTCATCAAATGTATGAACAGTCATCACAAGAACCTGCACAGCTCGAGGAAGCACAAAATCTATGAGCAGTCATTGGTAGATCCCCTAGGGTCGGAAGAAAAATTTATTTTCTACTTTTTAGTACACAAGAAAAACGTGATTTTTTAAAAAGTTTTTTTAAGTATTTTATTTTCTCCTTTTTAGTCCGTTGCTACACATGAAAAACGTGGTTTTTAAAAAGTTTTTTATATAGTTTATTTTCTACTTTATCTAATGACTTAATTAAGTATGACTTGACTAAGTGTTTTTAAATACACGGACTAAAAATATTGAGTGACCGATAGGCTTTAAACAGAGAAGGGGCGTAATTTAATTAAGCTAATTTAGGTCTCTAATTGCTAGTTTTTTATGATTGCATCTGAAATTGTTATGTGAGCTTGGCAGCGCGAGACCCACAGCAGCCTACATGGGTTGTCGCGGCCACAACGCGAGTACTAACCACTATACGATCACGGCCAGCGCGCTCACATCGATTGGGGCAGAAGTAACTGTGTCAATAGGCCTCCAGTCTTGTCGGTATCTTTAGAAATCATGTCCTCAATTTTAGGGTCCTTGGGGCGTAATTTAATTAAGCTAATTTAGGTCTCTAATTGCTAGTTTTTATGATTGCATCTGAAATTGTTAGGCGAAAATAGCCTGCATGCCGAATTTCAGATCTCTAGAGCAATCAGAAGTGGGCTAATTTTCGTTGTCAATTTTAACAACAAACCCACAAACAAACGCGAAGCTGAGTTAAGAAAAACGTGTTAAAAAAATATGAATTACTGAAAAGTAGGATCTATCTATATAATTCTCTTCATTCGGACCATGCGAGACACCAAGACGTAAGCTCAACAGACTATATCACTACCACCCCCACCAATCTGGTGAGCTGTTTACAATCGTAGTGACGGTAATTAGGGGCAGATAATTTAGTTTTAAAACGATTTGAAACTAAGGGGAGAAAATAACATGTTTCTACCTGTAAACTGTTGTCACAGACGGCTGCTTTCACGGAGGGGGAGGAGAGAGACAGAGAGGAGAGGAAAGTGAGGGTGAGATAATCGTCATTCACTAGCTACTGATAGGGTTTTAAAGCAAAATATTTTCAGTCATTGGCAGTGTCGAATTCACAAATTATGAATTACTAAAAAATAGGAATTAAACTAAATAGTGGCATATGCTACGTCGCGGGTCAGCTCGTGGTAATATAAATTGTTTAGCTTTTACCTATTACTTTTGCTTCATCAATCCACTGTCTGGTCTTGACTAAAACTTCAGGTAAGTGAGATACAGGAACACAAACATCAGTTGAGTAAGCCTGAAAAAACAGACTTCTATTTTATTGAAAGACAGCGTTTTCACTTACGCTATACATTTCAAGATCACAAAGTCCGTCTAAAGTTATTACTTTCTCATATATATATGAAGTATAGAGAAAGTCTTGTAATCAAGCAAAAAACAAAAACAAAAAAAATCGAGATCCCTGATTCAGAAAAAATAGTTTTGCAATCTTGTCTGGATGTCTCTCTGTGTGTGTATGTGTGTGTGTGTCTGTAAACACAATAACTTGACTTGAGTACCGTTACAGCTAGGTTGATGAAATTTCACATATAAGTATTATATCAAAATCATAGATCCGTATCAACTTTTGAGAGATTTCCGATAACCGGAACTTTTTCTACTTTCAATTTTTCAAAAGCCTATAACTTGAGTACTATTTCAGATAGATAAATAAAATTTCACATATAAGTAAAAGATCTAATCCTCTGCCTTCTGTCAAATTCATATGCTAAGGTCACTTAAACAGGTGAACTCTACTTCACCTGCCCAGCCTCAGATAACATGTTTTTGTCTTTTAAAACACTGATTTCCGCTGAGCATGGGTTTGACCTCACTATCCCTTCATATGCTAAGATCACAAAAACTGGTTAAATACTTCACCTGCCCCAAGTCCCGCCAAGTCCCAAAGGGCAACTTTAACATTCACATCATAAAAGAAGTCACACCTCAGCTTACATATTTCTGTCTTTTAAAAACACCGATTTTTTTCTATAATATTTTCTGAGATCAAACCTCATTTGAATAATAAATGAATAAATCATTAAAACAAATGTCAAACTAATAATAATGAATTAGACCAATCACATGTGTTGTGATTTCCCACTGTGCATTAAAAATTAATAAGTGTGTTGTCTCAAGGTAAGATAATTTTCCAATTTTACTCCTGTAAAGATGTTTGGGTTTAGCATGGTAAAAAATAATAATAGAATGCATAAGCTAAAACTACTGATGTTTGAAATTCAAAATCAAATTTGTCACCTTGCTACCAGGGACCAAGGCTGTGCTAAAATAAAGCATTTCATGTCTTGCTATCCATAATCTTTTTCTTTCTTCTTTATCTGTGGCAATTTGCAATCCTGATCCTTCATTTGCTTGTATAATTTCCTCTAAAAACAACAAACACCTAGAGTAGGACCTACTATATATATATATATATATATATATATATATATATATATATATATATATATATATATATATATATATATATATATATATATATATATATATATATATATATATATATATATATATATATGTGTACATATATATATATGTGTACATATATATATATATGCATATATATATATATATGTACATATATATATATATATATACATATATATATATATATATATATATATATATATATATTATATATATATATATATATAAATATATATATATATATATATATATATATATATATATATATAAATATATATATATATATATGTATGTACATATATATATATATGCATATATATATATATATATATGTACATATATATATATATATGTACATATATATATATATATATATATATATATATATATATATATATATATATATATATATATGTACATATATATATATGTATATATATATATATGTACATATATATGTGTATATATATATATATGTACATATATATGTGTACATATATATGTGTATATATATATATATATATGTACATATATATGTGTATATATATATATACGAGAAAAATGGCCCGTTGAGGAAGGATACACCGGGCGCTAGGTTGATAGTGCTGTCTCTTTTCTCTAAACTAAAACCAACCCACCCCCCCCCACACACACCCTCCCCCCACCCCCACCCCACACACCCACCCCCCCACCCCCCACCCCACCCCCACCCCCCAAAAAAACATGTCTACCGTCCCATTCAACGAAATATAATTATATACTTTTTCCAGTGTCCGCCCCCTCCCCGAAAATTTTACCCCCGCCCCCGAAAATTTCAAGTACCCCCACCGCTCTCCGGGGAGGAAACAGTCTGAAAGAAACACAGAAACACTGGTGTCGCGCTTAGCCACTACCCGAAGAATTGCATTAAAGAAATTGCAAGAAAACCACTTTTTAGATTAGACACATTAATTAGGCGGTAATTTTATTATAGAGTATCGATGAGGAAACCACCGCCCCCCCCCCCACTCACACCTCCCCCCCCCACTCCCCACCTCCCCCCCCCCCCACTCCCAAAAAAAACATGTCTACCGTCCCATTCAACGAATATAATTACATACTTTTTCCAGTGTCTAACCCCGCCCCCGAAAATTTCAATTACCCCCCACCCCTCTCCGGGTAGGAAAAAGTCTGAAAGAAACACTGGTGTCGCGCTTAGCCACTACCCGAAGAATTGCATTAAAGAAATTGCAAGAAAACCACTTTTTAGATTAGACACATTAATTAGGCGGTAATTTTATTATAGAGTATCGATGAAGAAATTTCTTTTGAGTTGGGGAGGGGGGGGGGGGGGGGGGGCTCAGACGTTCTTACGCGGGGGGTGGAGCTTCGCCCCTACACGAAGAACTGTATGCAAGAAACTCTTCACGCAAACCATTAAGATTAGACAACATTTCCTTTTTATTAACGCGAAAATCAATGACGTCATATAACTGTGAGCACTCTCTGGGTTTGAGATTATTTTCTACTCTATGCTAAATGTGTCGACGTCTTACTTCGTCTTTCGTTTCACTGTGAGAGTTTTTAAATTGCTTGTGTTTTCTCTAGAGCGTTCTTGTCAGATAGAATTTTTTCTTATGTTTTCTCTAGAGCGTTCTTGTCAGACAGAGCGTTCTTGTCAGATACATAGACAGACAGCGAAACTATTAGTATTAATGTACATATATATGTGTATATATATATATATATGTACATATATATGTGTATATATATATATATACATGTACATATATATGTGTATATATATACATGTACATATATATGTGTATATATATATATGTACATATATGTGTGTATATATATATGTACATATATATGTGTATATATATATGTACATATATATGTGTACATATATATGTACATATATATGTGTACATATATATGTACATATATGTGTACATATATATGTACATATATATGTGTATGTATATGCACATATATGTGTATGTATATGCACATATATATATTTATGTATATGCACATATATATATGTATGTATATGCACATATATATATGTATGTATATGCACATATATATATATGTATGTATATGCACATATATATATGTATGTATATGCACATATATATATGTATGTATATGCACATATATATATGTATGTATATGCACATATATATATATGTATGTATATGCACATATATATATATGTATGTATATGCACATATATATATATGTATGTATATGCACATATATATATGTATGTATATGCACATATATATATGTATGTATAATGCACATATATATATGTATGTATATGCACATATATATATGTATGTATATGCACATATATATATGTATGTATATGCACATATATATATGTATGTATATGTACATATATATATGTATGTATATGTACATATATATATGTATGTATATGTACATATATATATGTATGTATATGTACATATATATATGTATGTATATGTACATATATATATGTATGTATATGTACCTATATATATGTATGTATATGTACCTATATATATGTATGTATATGTACATATATATGTATGTATATGTACATATATATATGTTTGTATATGTACATATATATATGTATGTATATGTACGTATATATGTATATGTATGTATATGTACGTATATATGTATATGTATGTATATGTACATATATATATGTATGTATATGTACATATATATATGTATGTATATAGTACATATATATATGTATGTATATGTACATATATATATATATGTATGTATATGTACATATATATATGTATGTATATGTACATATATATAGGTATGTATATATATATATATAGGTATGTATATATATATATGTATATACATACCTATATATATATATATACATACCTATATATATGTACATATACATACATATATATATGTACATATACATACATATATATATATATGTACATATACATACATATATATATGTACATATACATACATATATATATGTACATATACATACATATATATATGTACATATACATACATATACATATATACGTACATATACATACATATACATATATACGTACATATACATACATATATATATGTACATATACAAACATATATATATGTACATATACATACATATATATGTACATATACATACATATATATAGGTACATATACATACATATATATAGGTACATATACATACATAT